TGCATTGTTGATGATAATGATTTGGTACTTGATTACATGATTTTATTACACTTAATTTAATATTGTCAATTTACTGTGATAAGGTTAAGTCCCTACTGAGCTGTTGAAGCTCACCCCTCTATTGTTATGCAGGTTTACTAACTAAACTATCAAAAGGGTAGACGGGATGAGACGAAATAGATATGAGGCTAGAACTTGTATTTATTTATTTAGCATTTTAAAGAATTATTGAGTTATTTTAAATAAGAAGAATTTTATTTTTCACTCCGTTATTTCAGTTTTATTATAATTTGTTAGCTTTTATCTCACGTTTCGGATTCGGGTTCAAGTTTTTACTACCGACCCCGGGTCCGGATCGTGACAACAGTCATCTGTTTTTCAGGAAATTTGAGCTTGCCTTATCAATCCAGCTTTGAATAGCATCGTGGAACATGATGCAATTGTTTGTGGTCGTAATGCAATTGTTTGTGGTGTGCTTATTCGAGTTATGGTACTTGCAATATGTTTTTCCTTTCAACTATTTGGCCTTAGGAATGTTGTGTCCTGGCCGAAGTTTGATGATCATTGCTAGCAACAACTGGTCGAAAATTGCATCGGCCTTGGTGATATCAAAAGTGCAAACTTTTGATGTTTTAACTGTCTCTTCAGAGGCTGAACGGGTTTTGGCATCCTTGGAATTAATTTGAGCCAATGCCTTGCAAACGTATGGTTTATCTATCACTATCTCGGTCGCGTCCACACTGACGTATTGGGAATCCTCGACTTCGGCCGATAAGTAGCTAATCGTGGGGTTTTTGTAAATTATTCCCCTGGATGGGGACTTCGAGATCATTTCCTCTCTGAGCAAATAATCATATTGCTCAACGTGCTGGGCCAGTTCGTACATGTCTCGGAAATTTACCCCCAAGAATTTCTTTTTGTATTCCACATCCAAACCGTTCAGAGCGATCCTGACAAATTCAACTTCAGGGAGAGGTATTCGGCACCAGTTTCTAGCCGATTTGAACATCGTTAAGTATTCCATTGGTGATTCGTCCAACTCCTGGGCCATCCTATCCAGCGATGAGACTAACATTTCCATCCCCGACTGATAGAATTGTTCATGGAATTTTTCGACCAGTTCCTCCCAATTTTGGATGGAATTAGGCGGGAGGTTGATGTACCATGCGAATGCCGAGCCTGTCAATGAGAAGTTGAATAATCACAGTTTATGGAAGTCACTATTCACAACTCTCCGCATTGTGCAGTGAACCGGGCCACGTGTTTTAACGAGGGCAGGGATGACTCTCCAGTGAAAAGGTTGAAGTCAAGGATCTTAAAGCCTTTGGGATATTCAAACTTTTCCACATAAGCTGGATATGGATGGATGAATTTTGAGAACTTTGGCCCCCTTTTGAAGGCCGAATTGATCATCATTTGGACCTCGGTCATATCGACGGATGTTGTTTCCATTTTTTGGTTGGATCCGTCTGTCCTGCTGCTTGAGCCTCATTTTTTTTCCAAGTCAATTGCTTTAAGCCGAATAGATCATGTTTCGACCTGTAGCAAATTACTCTTGAATGGAAGTTGTCGGGACTGATCAACAGGCCCACCTTCAAAAACTCTACTAACCAGTAGTTAGAGCAATCTAGTATGTGTATCTCCATTATTTTGTATCACCTCGAGTAAATTGTTCATTATTTGGCTAATTGTTTGTTCAACCTGCTGAGATTACTTGTCAAGTCGTCTTCGATTGCTCGTCAAGTCGTCTTCGAAGAAACAACCTAGTTAGGGGATTAAAGCCTTCACCACCATCTTCATCTTCATCGCAGTCCTACACTATCCCTTCAATGAAGACACCTGCGGTTTTGTTGGGAATTTTTGTGTTACGAGGCTAGGTACCGAGACAAACTTCTGTTTCTCGGCGTGTTACATTTGCAGCCTCTGGCGTCACAGCAACAAGAGGGTTTTGTGCATGTGACAAATTTTGTCCGGGGATCTGAACTGGTAGGTCGGTCGTTGACTTTCCCATGATTATTTTCTTTTTAACCGATCGTGTTTCGATGGGCATGAACTTTGTAGTTTTAGCACTTGGTCCCATTGGGCGTGCCAAAATGTTGACCCTAAAAACTACCAAGCTTATGTGGCACGCATGCCGAGCAATTAATAAGTTAACTACTTCCTTCAGTTGTGTGCGGGGCGTGCCAACTCGAGGGCCGAGCTTGGCTAGTGAGTAAAATTTGTTGATGTTGCGTTGGGTGCGCTGCTAATTTCTTAATCTTGCAACTGCGGCCGAGGAAGGAACACGTCTTGGCCTTTAGGTTCTAGAGCCTGAAAACAAGGCTGCTAGTTCTGCGAAGTTCACAAATCGTTGGCGCCGAATTCGGTTGATAGGAGCATATTTATGCGACTTTGTTATCTTATTTCTTTGCTTTTACTTAGTTAATTTACATTGATTTTGGTAATTTATGTTATTTTCGTATTATTGTAGGTCCAATTGGGAAAGATGACAATAAATGGCAAAATGGAGCAATTTGGAGCAGTTTTGGATTTGGATTGGACATCATGGTTGGATAACATATGGGGTGACGTTTTTGGTGTTTAAATGGTGCTAGATTTGTGCTAAAATCTGGATGAATTAAAATTGAGGCTTGGAAGATAAAGAATTAGACAAGAAAGAGCAACCTTATCCAACCTTATCTTATCCTATCTTATCTTACCTTATCTTATCTCCAGCTGCAAAGAGGAATCCTTATCACATTCTAACACTTCCTATCTGATTCTAGGAGTCCTAAAATAATTCAAATGATCTAATCCTTTTCCTCCTAGGGTTAGCTGTGCCTTTGCCCTATAAAAACAAATTGAGCCGTAAATATGGGAAGGGGGGAGAAAAGAGTGCCGCATCCTGCCTCCAGAAAAGAGTGCCGAATCTGCCAATCAACCATTGGAGTTTCCAGAGTTCTTTCTATTCTTATTTAGTTTCAATGTTTATTTAAATTGCTTTTCAATTATGATGAATATGTGTAGCTAAGTTTCTTTTTAGCTAGAGGTGAATTCAAAGCCATGATCATATGTTTTATATGAATTGATTACATCCAGTTATTGTTTCATAAGACATTAATGCGATTTACTTATCTGCTGTATAGAGAACTTATTCTTGTATGTTTATTAAGGATGCATACTTAGTTTGCATGCAGGGATTTGATGATAGAATATAAGGGAATTTCACCTAATCGTTATGAACTTATATTTCCAAGTAGTAAAAGTCACTGGTCATGACTGAGTTAAGTAAATTATTGGCAGGAGTTTCATGCTTTTCATAGTTACGAATGCTTCGTCAATGCTTATGATTTTCACAGAACTTAATGATCTTCGAGATGTATCTCTATCATGCTTTTCATAGTTAGGGAACTTGAGAAGAATAATTTAATTGCGACGCTGAGTCCAAATCAATAAACCTAGGAAAATTTGAGAGTTAATTTGTGCAGTTCACAGTTAATTTGGGGCATTGTCATTCATGGTTTATAGAAATGATAACTAGAAATCGATTTGTATGCATATGTTTCATGTGTGGAGAACAATCCTCTAGCTAGCCTTTCACCTATATCTCATACAAGACCTAATTCGTTTGCTGCAATTTACTTAATTTTTGTTAAAATTCGTCCAAACACCTCCTCAGTTCTTATTTTGTGTTAGTCTAGCTTAGTTTTCAGTTTTTAAGTTTAATTTGTGTTGATTAGCATCCCTCCTAATCGATTTGTGTGTTAGTTTATACCACATCATAGGTCACAGTGATTATATTCGTAAAAGTATAAGCATGCCGAATCGACACCAAACTATATGGGCACAAGTACTCAAAGCAAATGTGCGTCTTAATCGTAAATGTAGTTCGGCCATCAGAATGCCGAACTCTAAATCCCACTTGTGAGTATCCAATCGTAAAACAACTTGGCGTTCGATGCGTCGAGCCCAGTAATCCGTAACACCATACATCGCCGAGAAAGCAAATGAGATGACCTCTGCCAATAAGAATTCGAAAATCCTTCTCGACCGAGACTTGGATAGATAATCAGTCGGCCTCGCCGTAGTGCTGTTTATCCAAACTGAAGGTGCTTCGCGGTTGGCTGATTTTATGGCAACAGTGTTGTTTATCCAAACTGAAGGTGTTCGCCGGTTGCCTTCACAGTGCTGTTTATCCAAACTGAAGATGTGTTGGCGAAAAAGAAAATAAAAATCTCAAGGTTGTTGAGAGGTTTCACATAGAGCAAGAGTTTGCACATGGCAGTTTGTGTGTTGAGTTGGAGGGCTTAATGATGCACCCCTCCCTTATTTATAAAAGCCAACCTTATCATGGCCGAACCAGATGTATACCAGATTTGGATTCTTTATCCTAATCTAACCACGTCTTGGCCAATCCCACCTCCATTAGGACTTTGAACCAAACTCTTTATTCGGCCGCATTCACTTCTCAAATCTCAGCATCCTCATTCCATTAAGACTCCTTATCATACTAGGACTCGACCCATTCGCTCTTATCCAGTCTAAACCTTCTTACAATAAGACTCGACCGACCTGACTGGACGGCTTATGACCACTGGACGGCCCATAGTATTTTTGGAAAAGCTTTGGACCGAACATAAACCTTCGCTCGGCCCAATAATATTATTTTGGGTCAAAACAACTTGAAAGTAATCTAATTAGTACAACAGGGTTGCGTTTATTGCAGCGGACTAACTCGGACTGGACTAGCTTGAGGGGCTAAGTTGGATTGGCTTGGCTTGGACTAATTAGGATAAGAATAATGAAATATTTGGTATAGTGCCAGACTATGTCATGGACTAAAATATTTTTTTTGGCTCAAAAAAAATAATTTTCAATTTTATTGTTTCTCTCTCCATCTGTTGCATCATCACTTAACAAAATGCCATACAAACACCGAACTTCAAAATGTTCAAATTTTGCAGGGTAGGTGATCGAAAGGTGGATTTTGATTATTCCGAGCCTCAACGAAACAAATGAGATAAGCCATTACCACATCACCCAGCTCAGGTGGTAAAACATCAATCATTTCAATATTCATGGAAAAATGTTTTGGTCTTGATTAATTTACACTGAACAAAATGTTTTGGTCTAATAACATTACTAGAGGAAAAAATACAACCTTCAAAAGGAAATAATACCTAAGCAAATACTTCAAAAATTGCTAGAACGAATTAATCTTTATCACAGTTCTTTCTTCAAGTCTTTAATCTCGTAAATTGCAGATAAGCCACTTGGCGGATCATGTCGTGCTCTTTTTACTCATCTTATTCCTTGAAGCAAAGCTGCTCGGTCCAATTTCAGTGGATATTCTTTTCGTCCTGCAAAGCATGAGAACAATAATTGAGTACTTACAGCAGAACAGCTTGTGGCTTTCGTTGTAAACAAAACAGAGACAATGGAGAGCAAAGAGGGGATCTTATGATTTCTTCCACAAATATAAGTGTCCAATAGAAATTAAGAAGCGTCATACTGCTTGGATAGCTCTTTTAACTCCTCGTCGCCATCTTCAAATGCACCATCTGAAACTAAAGATACAATGAAATTCAAGGCCAGTTGAAAGATCCAAACCAACAATAACATATGCAAAATACTAAATGCTGGATCAACATTATACCTTTGTTATTCCAACTAAAAACATACCAGCTTCATCAATCTCGTCCTCATCTGGAACCCCACATGTCACCTCCCTTGTCAAAGTCTCAACGTTCTCCCACTGGAGGCATCCAAATCATAAATGATTTTGATTTCTTCAAATTAAAAGAAGGTATATCTAAGCACAACATCTCCCCCATCGCATTTCTTCTATAACTTAGAATAAAAACTTGAAGCTAGAAGGATTATACGAAAAATCAATCAAAACCCAGTAATAATTTCATAGATTTCGAACCCAAAACAACAAAATCTGTCAAAACCCAGTAATAATTTTAGGATTTACAAAACAAAATCAAAGAATTAGACTGACGGATTTAGAATTTACCAGGCCAGCAGCAAGACGAGGATGAGCAGGTCAAAAGATATCATCCGTCTAATTCTCACACACCATGGCACGGTAAGATGCCTACTTTTTTTGGTCACTTGTAAGGAGCCATGATCTTTACTCTCCTCTAAGTTTTACTCGCTATTTCACATTTCATCTCATATTCCTGATAACAATGAACCTAGATTCAAAAGGTTTCAGTGGATGTAACACATCACTTTTACCGTGACTTTCTCACAGGTTACCAAATAACAGGCAACATGAAATTCTGTTCAAGCATTACATTTAATTCAATATTATGTGTATTCGTTTCCTCCACAAACCCTAATTTTTCCCCCAATTAATTTTTTCCCAAATAATTTTTTCCACAAACCATATATGTAAGATCCCACATCGTCCAGGGGTGAGGATCTTTATATGTATATTCCCATCTCTACATAGCACGAGGCCTTTTGGGAGCTCACTGGCTTTGGGTTCCATCAGAACTCCTTTTTCCTTCTGCCCAATCACGCACGCACACACCCTCACTCTCTCTTCTCTCAGACTTTCTTCTTCTTTATTCTCATTCCGTACACCCGAGCCACCTTTACCTCATAATCATCATCAAAACATCACAGATCGAATTGGAAATCACTACCATCACACTCACCTCAACCCCATGAACTCATTGGTACCCCTAAGTCGAGGAATAGATGTCAGGAATTCGAGAACTCGCAAGCTCCGGCGAGGTGTATTTTTCTACATCATGATCGTGGTCTTTTTATGAGGTTTAAAGGCTCGAGGTGGGTCCTAATCACCTTTATAGGGACCCTAGATTAGTTTTGGAGCAGTTTGAACATTGGAATAGGCGAGAAAATGGAGTTGCAGGTTGGCTGGTTGTTCCAAACCTTATTCCGACCACTTTCCGTACGTTTTAGGACCTCAAATAGGTAAGATTGTATTCTTCCAATTAAGAACTTCAAATCCATATAAAATTCATGGAATTTGGTTGAAAAATGATGAAGATATTAAAGTTTTAAGATTTTCCAGAAACCAGTGACACAGACGGCGATGGATTCCGGCAAGGCCACCGCAGCAGGAGGAGAATATTTCGTCAACTTTGATGGAATATACTGACGGCGTTAGGTAACTCCGTTAGTTTTTAAACGGAATATTATACTATTTAGGGATTCCGTTAGCATGCCAGGCACGTGCTTGCGCATGGCCGACGCGTGAGACGTCAGAAAATTAATCTAAAAATATCCGGGTGTTCGTGTTGTTGAGTAGGTCATGTTGGTATATTCAAACATCCCATTTGAGCAACATATGAGAAATTATTCATAGGGTTTGTGCATATGCTTTAAAATTAATGTAAAATTAGTTATTTCGCATATAGGTGAGATGTACCCGGAGGACAAGCGTGGTCAACCGAGACTTGGGGGCTACGATCTTGCTACTTACCAGTGAGTGGGCTTTTGTTTTCTATATATATGTATATATGCTTATGACTCCCAGAAACTATTTTAAGTGAATGTATGTTTTAAATGCCATGTCGTGTGTGCATTATGTATTAGTATTGCATTAGTATAGCTATGCATAGTATTTATTGGATGAGACTGCGGAGGCTCGGGTAAGCTTTAGATAAGTACATCATGTTGGTATTGGTTGCGTTGTGTGTGGTTATACATTGATGCATTTTGAGCTCATTATCCTGCACCCCGGTGTTAGTGCTCCTGTCCGTGGCCAAGGCACAGTCCTTCACGTGATGTTCACCTCCCGCACCGCACGCTCACCTTGGACCCAAATTTGGTACACAGCCTATCGTATAGACCACAATAAGTGGTTCCGACTCGTAGGTGACCGACGATTATTCACACAGCCTTCACATCATCGTAGCACTTGAGCGTACTTATCTACACCCAACCCTGTCGTACATACCACAATAGGTGGTTCCAACTCGTGTGCAGGCACACTTGATGAGCTATAGATTCAGCCATACAGGTCACATTAGGTGATTTCGACTGGTATACTATTTTACATTGATTCGTATCACTTGGCTTACACATTTTATGGTTGAACATCTTGACATGGCATACCTCTGTTTTCACTGCTTCTAAGCATTATCCTTATGTACCTATGTGTTATTATTTTCTGGGAAATTATACAGGTTTTATAGTGAGGGGTTAGCATGTTCATAAAGACAACCGTGTTTTCAAAAGCTTTGTTTTTGCCCACTCATGTTTTCTATTTTGTGCCCCTCTAGGTTCTTGGTAGCTGGTCATCTTTGGTGGCTCACAAGGACTTTCACAGCGGTTCTGACATCTCTATAAATATGTAGAGATCTTTTCCTTGTTTGTATAATTAGTACTTAGTTGGTTCGACTACACTTTTGTTTACCTATGCTCTGATATTTGTATAACTTGCTTAGTCACCTTCACTCACTTATTTTATCTTAGTTTAGATAAGTTTGGTTTTAGGTTTTTATTTATTCGCATTTCTTTTATTATCATTTATGTTGAGCATTTTGGCTACGTCACCCTCATGTGATAACCAGCACGTCTCAACCTTGATCGGGGTGTGTCAATATCACCTTCCCCAGTTAATTTTTCCCAACCCTCCATCCCCAATTTTTTTCCCAACACCCATACACTCATCCCTTCGCCCCCTTTTTACTCTCCCATCCCTAAATTAAAAACCCAAACAAATAAATAACGAAATTTTGGACAAGAGTAGCTTACTAGAGGAAGGACGCCGAGCCGGAGAACGCACTTGGAGAACTAGAGAAATCGTTGGGAGGAAGGATGGCTTCACACCTAAAGGAATTTTCTGAAACAGAGAATGGAGGTGAGAAGAGAAAAGTCTCACAAGTGGATTCTGGAAAAAATGGGGAAGACGCGTGAGAAAGGGGAGGGTAGGATTGGAAAAATTGAAAAGCTTCATTAACTTGTTATTGTTTACCCGTATTTTGGTGAAATAAGTTGATTTTTTAAAGCTGTCTTTTCTAGCTTTGGGCTTTTAGCTTTTTTTCACCCATAACTTTGAAAAGAAGCTGATTTTAGATGTTTACCAAACACTTAAAATATCCCAATTTTTTTTCATACCCACTTTTTTTTAAAAGTTAAGCTAAGCCAAACTGGGGCTAAGCAGCAAGAAGCTGATTAGGAGGTGAGGCAGAGAAGATAAGCTTGCAGTAAGGAAGGTGGGCTCGATAGGAGAGGGTCATGTGGAGGGGTAGGAGGCGCTGGGCTGAGGCTTAGCAGCAAGGGCTGCAAAGATGTTGGAGGCTTCGGACCTTGTTCGGCAACAAAGGCTTCAGAGGTGAGGGGCGAGGAATAATGTCCAGAGGGACAATATCATCTCGAGGTACCTGCAAGTTAGTAAACGAAAAAACATCTTCTTGAAAATGACACGATGAGAGATGTAGACATGACCAGACACTGAGAACAAGACAACAATAATCTTTGTGACTCAGACTGTAGCCTTAAATGACACATTCGAAGGAATGAGGAGAAAGTTTGTGGGATGTACAGGGACCTAAGTGAGGAAATCATGAACACAAAAAAAAAAAAAAAAAAAAAAAAGTAGATGAGATTTAGGATGGGGGACAATGGAAGAGTTTTGCATAGTGAGATTCCTATTTGTGGATGGGCGTAGGAAGAAGGTTAATAATATGGACTCTGCAATGAGACCTGCTTCGGCCTAATAAGGGGACGGTACACTAGCAGTGTGAAGAAGGGTTCTATTTGTGTCCTCAATGTGGCGATGTTTATATTCGGCAATGCCATTTTGTTGAGGATTATAAGGACATGAGAAACATTGTTGGATTCCTAGTGAGTTACAAAAATTCGTGAAAGCATGATTCATATATTTAGTACCATTGTCCCTTTGAAGAATTTGAAGGATTTGAATAGTAGAATGAAATAAATTGCATAATATCAAAAGCCACTGATTGATACACATGGGACATCCAAACATCAAAATGAACTAATTGAAAAAGAGTTAGTACTGAATGAAGACTATTGAAAAATGACAATTGAGTGCATTCTTTTTATAGCACAATCTTGACAAAAAGACATTATAATTAAATTGTTTTCGTAACAAAGGCCCTAGACGAGAGAGAACAAATGACGACAAGTGACCGAGATGACGACGCCAAGTGGAGGAGTGAAGAGTAGCGAAAGCATGAAGGACGACATGTTTGTGAAGGGAGGAAAACTGGAGGGGATAAAGGCCATTTTTTCATGGGCGCTGAAATAATAAGATATCGATAAGTAAATTATAAATCTGATAAAAATCAGGAGCAAAGAGAAAGAATGTGAGATTATGTTTAGTGAAAGGAGCAACGAAGATAGAGTTTTTGTGAAGAGTAGGAATGCGAAAGACATCACGAAGAGTAAGTTCAAAGGAACCCAAAGAAAAGGGAAATTATCGGTGTGGGTAATATTCATAGAATCACCATTACCCATGAGATTTTTTTGACTACCCTTGTAAGATGACAGGTTCTGAAGTGGTGTGGATGGACCCATCATCTAATGAGTGGTGCCGGTATCCGGGTACAAAACTGGATCAGCAGCAGCAGCAGGTTGAGCTATGTGAGCACTATCAAAAGGGAATGTTGAGGTATTAGATTACCGATGCGGGCGTGCAGCCTAGTGTGTTGATTAGTACCTGGCTGGTGAAGGGCCCAACATGCCAGGCGAAGCCACGAAGAGGAAGGCCCATAAGGATACTGAAGCCACGATTTCTGCTGCCAAGTGGGTTGGCCCGGCATACTAAAGTGCTAATGGTTGTTGAAATGGCGCTGGTTATGGCCGCGACTGTTGTTGTTATGACAATAGTTGCCACCGCAATTAAGATTGCTTCGATTACTGAGATTGCGATTGTTGTGATTGCCACCAGGAGAAGGGGGAGGGGAACTGTTATTGTGGGATAGAGAAGAATTTGGGTAGTTTGTGTAGAGGGCAATATGACAAAAGTGAGAGAGATTGTTCATACAGGTATCGTTTGGTATGCAGGCGGGACGAAACGGAGAGGGAGCAAAGATGCCCTCGGATGGAAACTGTAGACATCGAAATTTCGGTAAAATAAATATTGATCAATAATTAAAATTTCAACGTTCATGTCACATAAATTTTACACATAGCATGTGACTAAACAAAAAATCAAAATAAATCGGAAAAGTCATCAAACAGGACACGTGTCAACACCTGGCAGAAATGATTTATTTCATCTGATTATTTAAATAAAAAAAAAT